CTTCTATAGTTTAAGTATTTGTTTAACTTGGCATAAATCAATCAGTTTAGGATGAAAAAGGTTTATAGAATATGTCAGTCACAGATTAGGTTATCCTTTGTTATGGGATTTTAAGATTATCATATGAAAAGGATTTAAAGGCAATCATTGATTAAGTTTTCATGGATTAAGGTTTCCGGTGGGTGGGGGACGCCCCTCCCACATCTGACTTTGTATATAAAAGACCCGTTGTAATTCCCAATAACACACATCGCTTCTGCGCTAGACTGGAGTCCAGTCTCTTTCTTTCTCTCTCTTTCTTTCTCTCTTCTTCCCCCCAATCGCTGACGCCGTCTCCACCTTTGGGGTACCCTGAACCCGGCTGGAGCTGGTCTCCGGCAAAAAGTGTTATAGAGGATTACAGTAATATGTCAGTTTATTGGTAAATTTTTTTAAAGATTTATTTAGAGACAGGGTCTCACCCTGCAGTCCAGACTAAAGCTCAGTTGTACAATTGCAGCTCACTGCAGCCTCAAACTCCTAGGCTCAAGCAATCTTCTGTCTCAGTCTCTCAAGTAGCTGGAACTAAAAGTGTGAGTATGGCTATGGGTAAAAATATTATAACCTTTTTTTTTTTAAGTTTTCAATGTATGTGACACAAAGTGTTCATTTTGAATTGGAGTCTCACTCTGTTGCCCAGGTTGGAGTGCAGTAGCATGCTTACCACCACCACAGCCTGGAACTACTGGGTTCAGACGATCCTTCCACCTCAGCCTTCCAAGTAGCTGGAACCAGAGGTGTGCACCACCACACCTGGCTAGTTTTTTGATTTATTGTAGAGAGGAGGTTTTGCCAAATTGCCCAGGCTGGTCTCAAACCCCTAGACTCAAGCAATCCTCTTGCCTCCGCCTCCCAAAGTGCTGGGATTACAGGTGTGAGCCACCACACTCGGCCACAAAGTATTTTTTAAATGTGTATTTTGTTGTCAGTTCCTTTCCTAGTCTAAGTAAACATTCCTTCGAACTTAATTTTTTTTTTTTGAGTTGGAGTCTCACTCTGTCACCCAGCCTGGAGTGCAGTGACTGCTCCTGGCCACTGCAGCCTCGACCTGCTGGGCTCTGGTGATCCTTCTGTCTCAGCCTTCCAAGTAGCTAGAACTACAGGTGCGCGCTACCATGCCCAGCTGATTTTTGATTTATTGTAGAGATGAGGTCTCGCCAAGTTGCCCAGGCGGGTCTCGAACCCACGGGCTCAGGCAATCCACTCACCTCGGCCTCCCAAAGCACAGGATTACAGGCTGAGCCACCAAGCCCAGCCTCAAACTTAATTTTGTCTCAATAATTTTGCATTATTTTTCATGAGAGCTCTACAAAACCTTTGCTCTCAAAGCAAAAACACACTGAACATCCTAAAAGGTTTTGTCACTCACTGAAGAGGTCTACAGACTGTTTAAAATTCATTTAGAATTTGAGGTGTAGCATGGGTAGGGGGCATCTGGTATTGTGCCTGTGGTCTAGATACTTTTAACCCTTTTAGAACATGCAGAGGGCAAACCCAGCCCCACTCCTGAGAGCTCTATGTGTGTATGTTGGGTCTGGGGATATTGGCATGTAGACTCCCCTGGCTTTCAGTCTTCCCTCTTTCTAACAGTCTCAAACTTTTAACTTCTGCCCTCTTCAATGTCTCTATTACCCTATTATTTTTCTTCCCACCCTTAGGAGCGACTAATAGAAACTGAAAAATGATCATTTTCATCAACAAGAAACTGGTCAAACAAACTGCAAAAAGAGCCTTGCAGAAAGTAGATGGGAGCAGTTAATAAGAATGTGGTAGGTCTCTAAACACTGATGATCATTAAAAGATATTCAAGATATACTGCAAAGTGAAAAAACAGCAAATTGTAAAACAGCATGCATCGTTTTAACCTGTTCTTATTTTTACAATACTGTATTTCTTGCTTGTTTCTGACACAGGATCTCACTCCGTCACTCAGGCTGGAGTGCAGTAGCACAGTCAAGGCTCACCACAGCCTCAACCTCCTAGGCTCCAGTAATACTCCTGCTTCAGCTTCCTGAGTGGCTGGGACTACAGACATGTGCCTCCATGCCCAGCTAATGTGTTTATTTCTTGTAAAGATGGGGTCTTCCCACGTTGCCCAGGTTGGTCTCAAACCCCAGGTCTCAAGCAGTCCTCCCACCTCAGGCTCCCAAAGTGCTGGATTATAGGTGTGAGCCACCGTGCCCAACCTAAGATATTGTGTTTCATCCATTCTAAGATGCACATCTTTTCCAATGTTAACATCTCTGATCAGTGACCTGTCAGAATTTAATTGGCAACCTGTTTTTTTTTTTCTCTTAGAGGCTTGTAAAATGAGAGTGTATCTTACAATCAATGATACTTTAGATTTGATGAAATATGATATAACTATAAACTATATATAGCATACTAGTCAGCCCAGGACTGCAGTTTGGAAAGCCCTAGGCTGCCCTTAAGCCACTTGGAGAGGCCTCTGTTAAATTAAAAAACCCTAGGTGTTGTGTTACAGACAGAAATTGGTTACCAGTAAGAATCACACAGTCCCCTCCCCCCACCACTCCCCAAAAAAGAATGTGGTTATCAGGAACCTGCTTATTAAGTCTGGTTGACATGACAATCACCAGAGTATTGCCCTGTAAGGCAGGATTGGAGCTAGGATTGGATAGATAGGAGTTGATGCTTCTCACTTTGAAAGGAGATAAAAGCCCAGGTGTGAGGAGACTCAGGACCTCTCTACTCTGATAAATCTCCAGTCTTGGGTTAACTGGGACTCCCACACCAATGTGGCAGCTGGAGGAACAAGCACACAAGGAAATAAAAGGTGTCTGGAGTCCAACCTGCTTTACCATCAGGCGTCTCCTCTCTTGGTAGCAGAACGATATCCTCTCCCCAGGTCAGGTCAAATGTTGCCACCTAAGCAAATTCTGAGGAGCCACTCCTCCAGGCGGATCTTGGGTTCCTATCACCGGTGTAATGTATTTAAGAACATTTGCATTTAAAAAGTCAGAAAGGATATATGCTAAATTAACAAGAGCCTATTTCTCGGGAGTGAGATTAATAGAGATTCCAGCTTTCCACTCTACATATTTCTGTATTACTCCAAGGTTTTTGTGTTTTTTGGGTTTTTTGAGTTGGAGACTCACTCTTTCACCCAGGCTGGAGTGCAGGGGCACACAGGCTCATGGTCACCCCAGCATAGAACTGGTGGGCTCCAGCGATCCTTCCGCCTCAGCCTTCTGAGTAGCCGAAGCTACAGATGCGTGCTACCACACCTGGCTATTTTAAAATTTCTTATTGTAGAGACGAGGTCTTGCTAAATTGGCCAGGCTGGTCTCGAACCCGTGGGCTCAGGCAATCCACTCACCTCGGCCTCTCAAAGTGCTGGGATTACAGGCTGAGCCACTGAGCCGGCCTTACTTCAAAGTTTTTAAAAACCACATATGTGTATTACTTTCACAATCAGGGAAAAAGGTTTTCCCATTCAAATGGGAAAATACAGAATAATGTTAATTAATGAAGTGAAGAAGTGACTGTTGATTGTTTTTCCTTTTCATTCTCCAAACTTCATAAGCTTTTTAATGAGCACAAATTACTTTTCCAATACACAAAATTGTTTTAAGAAAGAACCCCCATAAAACACACTTTCATTTCTTCAGATAAAAGTGAAATAACAGGCCGGGTGCAGGGGATCATGCTTGTAATCCCAGAACTTTGGGAGGTTGAGGTGGGAGGATCCCTTGAGCCCAGGTGTTTGAGACCAGCCTGGGCCGTATAGTGAGACTCACTTCTCTACAAAGAATAAAACATTAAAAATTAAATAAACTTTTTATTTTTTTTTGAGTTGGAGTCTCACTCTGTCGCCCAGACTGGAGTGCAGTGGCCGCTCCCGGCCACCGCAGCCTCGACCTGCTGGGCTCCGGCGATCCTTCGGCCTCAGCCTTCCAAGTAGCCGGAATTACCGGCATGGGCTACCACGCCCGGCTGATTTTTTGATTGATTGTAGAGATGTCTGGCTGCCCAGGCGGGTCTCGAACCCGCGGGCTCAGACAATCCACTCACCTCAGCCGCCCAAAGGCGCAGAATTACAGGCTGAGCCACCGAGCCCGGCTAACAAACCCTCAACATTGCACGCATGGGGAAAGTACAGTTTATTTCTTTTTATGTTTTTCCAGGGCATATTTTACCTCCAAGAGAAAGGCACAGTTATGTCTAAATTAAATTTATACATCGTTTGGAGATTTACTCATTAAGCAAACACCTTGGTAAGAATAAACTGAGTTGAGCTTCAAGACAAGGCTCAGCGAAAAAAAAAATGAGCTCTTGCTGTCTAGTAGACTCTGTTCCTGCGGCCTTCTCGCTTATCACCTCATTTGATTTAAAGACAAAAGCCAAAACAAAATCTCTCAAAGCAGGATGCAAGCGCCAGGTAACCTTCTAAAACGCATTCCCTGCAAGTGGGATCCGCGGTCCAGCCCCTCCCCTCCCACGTGACCCTGTGGCCCGAAACGCCATCTTAGTTCGCCTTACGGAGGAAACTACAGCTCCCAGAATCCTTGCGGCTCGCGTCGTGCTGGCACTTTCACTGGCCCGGCCTCAGAACGGAGCCTGTAGCCGGGCGCCATCTTTGACGCTGGCAGTCTTGGTTTTCTGCTGGTGCTGCTGCTGCGGGGACGACGGACGGCAGCGGCTAAGCACGAAGAAAGACGTGGCAGCCGGCGGGAGTCGGGGATAGTGTCATCGGTTCGGTAAAGTTTCTGTTCTCTGGTAACTAGACCCGTTTTTTGATTCCCGGGTGGCTCGGGGCCGGGGAGGTGGAGGAGAGGGCGAGGGGAGTGGCAGCGGCCTCCCCTCGCCCCTGGGTCGCGGCCTAGCCCGGGAAGTCAGAGCGG